TTAAGCTTCATGTCACGAGAATGTTTACCCATTTTCAAGTATAAACCTGTTTGTAAGATTTTGAATTTCGGATTTGGCCTTTCAGAGGACAAAACTGGAACATAGGCATAAGAACTAAACTACCAGTAGCCACATAGGTACTCACCAAATATTTCTGACTTGCTGGCATCCAGATACATAGTGAGTGCCTATGTTGGGAATGCCTTCCCAACCTCTTTGAAGCTGAAGATGGCCATGTGATGGGTTTGGTCAGTGAAATGTGAGCAGAGGAGAATATGCTTCACATCTGGGCAGAAGCTTTAGAAGCCAGGGCTTGATTCATCGCTCTTTCTCTGCCTCTATAGTATTAAAAGTAAGTTTTCAGATGGAGCTTCTGTCAGCCTCGATCCCGAGAGCCTCTGGGAGTGGGATCTCGCCTGTAAACTTCTATAGAACATAAAACACGAACAAGAGAAAAGGAAGCATGCATTGAATTAAGCTACTGAGATGCAGGTGTCTTTGTTGCCACCGGATAACCTACCTCATCTTGATTAGGCTACCAGAGTTCTCTCTGTTCTGAAAGCCTGTTACATGAATGGCCACATGATGCCTCAGATCGTAAGTTGTGGAACTGGAGCTACTTTCACCAACAATACTGTCGTCAACAACACTCACGTTCTTCAATCATGCTACCTCCCCCAAATTCTAACTAACGTGGTTCTAATATTGAGCAAGGCATTATTCCAGAAATGAAATCCAAGGCTTGGCAATAGAGCACATGAGGGCAGGATCATGACAACAAGGGGAAAAGAAGATTTCACAGGGTAGAGCACTCCTTGGGGGATTTCTAGGTTGGAGTCAAACGGTTAAAATACTTCCAATCTGGTTTCAAAGTGTTTTATGGGACTTAAAGAAATCTTAAAGGGGAAGAGGAGACTTTTCTTTCATTCATCAGGCATCTGGGACTATGGATACAATGGCTGAGCTCTAGACGCCATCTTGAACCTTGAAGACAAAGCCACAGCTTAGGAATGGCAAAGCAGATAACTGGAATTAGTCTGGTTCCGTGACAAATTTGTGGAGTTGCCATAACTCCCCTGGATTGCCTTCCTTTAGAGTTCCTTTACGGAACAGAGAAAAATTGTTACCTTGTTTATGCCACCGTTAGTTGTTTTTTCTTATATGAAGCCAAGTCTAAATCTAACTATTATATACCATTTTTTAAAATCATTTGAAGATACTATTTATCTCATTCTTTTTAAATGTTTTGGCTTTTTGGATTTTTACAATTTAAAAGAATGTATATAATTTATTTTAAAAGAAATATGAGGCCGAGCATGGGGGTTTATGCCTGCAATCCCAGCACTTTGGGAGGCCGAGGTGTGTGGATCACTTGAGGTCAAGAGTTCGAGACCAGCCTGGCCAACATAGTGAAACCCCGTCTCTACTAAAAATACAAAAATTGGCTGGGCGTAGTGACAGGCGTCTATAATCCCAGCTACTAGGAAGGCTGAGGCAGGAAAATCACTTGAACCTGGGAGGTGGAGGTTGCAGTGAGCCAAGATCATGCCACTGCATTCCAGCCTGGGCAACAAGAGCAAAACTCTGTCAAAGAGAGAGAAAGAAAGTGGGAAAGAAAGAAAGAAAGAAAGAAAGAAAGAAAGAAAGAAAGAAAGAAAGAAAGAAAGAGAGAGAGAGAGAGAGAGAGAGAGAGAGGGAGGGAGGGAGGGAGGGAGGGAGGGAGGGAGGGAGGGAGGGAGGAAGGAAGGAAAGAAGGAAGGAAGGAAGGAGGGAAGGAAGGAAGGAAAGAGAGAGAGAGGAAGGAAGGAAGGGAAAGGAAGGAAGGAAAGAAAGAGAGGAAGGAAGGAAGGAAGGAAGGAAGGAAGGAAGGAAGGAAGGAAGGAAGGAAAGAGAGAGAGAGAAAGAAAGAAAGAGAGAGAGAGAAGGGAGGGAGGGAAGGAGGAAGTAAAGAGACATATTCCTTTTATTAATGTGTGAACACAGCATGGAGCCCACCGGTGTGGGGAACTCACTATGGGGAGCCACCTGGATTCCAGGCTGCCCTCCTTCAGTGTCTGAGGCTCAGCTCTGATGCATAGGGGTGGGGAGGGTGGCTAAGGAATTTTTACTTTGATCATCTTGGTCTGGTTTTGTTTTTGGCTCTTGTTACCTGACCTCCTCTTCACAATGGGTTGGCATCTCCAAGTCTTTGGCCTGAAACCTCTGAGAATATGATTACCACTTCCCTTCACCTATTGCCTACTGAGAAAAGGCAATCACTACTTCTTTTGCTTTGACTCCAGTCAGCTTTTTGTGCTTTCTCAAAGAACAATGAGTCATTACAGCTCAACTAGCCTTCTAAACAGCCAGAGTTTGAACTGAAGTATATGTACATGTGGTACCTAAGGAAACTTAGGGGTCTGAAAGTACATCATTAAAATCTTGAGGCAATATTGAGCAACTTCCTTTTTTAGTCTCCAGGGATCTATTTACCCTCTGGATTTTTAACCTTTCAATATATCATTGGATTGGTAGCTACCTGTTCCTAAGGGCCACTCAGGTGAGGAGGCTACAGCAAGGGAAGAGGATGAGAACACATCCCTAAGGCCACGCTACAGTATGTGAGAACAGAGACTGGAGACCAGTGATGAGCACTGGAAATAGTTTACAGTTCCACTGTGTTAGTTCTCATGCTGCTAATAAAGACATGCTTGAGGGTAATTTATAAAGGAAAGAGGTTTAATGGACTCACAGTTCAGCATGGCTATGGAGGCCTCAGGAAACTTTCGATCACAACGGAAGGGGAAGCAAACATGTTCTTCACATGGTGGCAGGAAGAAGTGCAGAGTGAAGGGGGGAAAGCCCCTTATAAAACCATCAGATCTCATGAGAACTCATTTGCTATCATGAGAACAGCATGGAGGTAACTGCCCCCATGATTCAATTACCTCCCACCAAGTCCCTCCCACCACATGTGAGGATTAATGGAACTACAATTCAAGATGAGATTTGGGTGGGGACACAGCCAAACCATATCATCCACCAAAGATACTCCTTGCTCCCAGATCATCTTCCACCACCCATCTGCTGAGCTTTGCGTAGTGACTGACAGCTGACTTTATCACAAGCCTGGTTCCCATGGAATTGGAAAGGTCAATTTGCAGCTGCCTGTCCCTCTTTCAAAACAACTGAATGTGAATTCTAAAGCCAAGTAGACATTCAAAAAAGTTATCTGTGCAAAATTCTTTCCATTCAGGCATATATGCAAGAACTGACTCTAATGACATAATGCATTTGAACAGCTTCATATGTAGCAACCCTCAATCATTGCTAGTTTCTATCTTCCCTTCCCCTATTCTATAATTATTCATTTCACTACCCCAACTGAGAAATAAGATGGTTTAGTTGAAGTTTGCATGAAGTATTATAAAGAGGTTTTATCATCTTGTCAGGAAGGCATTTTTTTTTCCCATTCATTCGTCAAAGAAAGTCATTCTCTCTAACAATCAAAATCATCTATTTTCTTTACCTGTCTTCCAGGAAATGACACTGAATGAGCTAGCACTACTGGGGAACTAATAGCACTGACAGCCCTTGAGGCTCTTGCAAAAGCGCTTGCCCAAGGAAATGTGCACTCATCCACAGCTCCAGCTGCCCCTCCTGCACAACGTCAATGCCAGAAGCTCATCTGACTGGTTTGCCCCCAGCGTCCTTGAAACAGCAAAGCTGCACACCGTGATCAAACCACAGCCCTTCCCAGGAGACGCTGACTAAAGCACCTCACTCATTGAGAAAATTTTGTCCTAATCCAGAGGCTTTCCACCTTCCTGCTCATGAAGAGCTGATTTGAAACATCCCATGATTTGCTACAGATGATGATTCTAGAAGCACTGCCTGAGTACACCAAGACTATGTGTTGATATCCACATAGACATTAAATCCACGGTTTCATCTCTTTGGTTACTGTTGCCATCAAACAATCTATGCATGTAATTAGCACCTCCTGGATACACAAGCAGTGCTAGGCACCGCGGGGGATGCAAAAATTAGCTGGTTGCTTGGCGGCAAAGAGAAGGGAAAAGGGATGAATAGACAGAGCGCAGGGGATTATTAGGGCAGTGAAATCATTCAGCAGGATACTGTAACAGTGGATACATGACATTATGTATTTGGCAAAAACCCATTGAATGTACAACACAAAGAGTGAACCCTAATGTAAACTATGGACCTCAGTTTATAGTAATGTATAAATATTGGCTCATCAGTTGTAACAAATGTGCAATCCAATGCAAGATGTTAATAATAGAGGAAGCTGTGGGGAAGGGGAGGGAGGATACAGGAACTCTATACTTTCTGTTCAGTTTTTCTGCAAACCTAAAACTGCTCTTAAAAATAGTTAACCCAGGAGGTGGAGGTTGTGGTGAGCTGAGATTGTGCCATTGCACTCCAGCCTGGGCAACAAGAGCAAAACTCCATCTAAAAAAAAAAAAAAAAAAGTCTATTGGTCAGGCATGGGCATGGTGGTTCACGCCTGTAATCCCCGCACTTTGGGAGGCCAAGGCAGGAGGATCCTTTGTGTCCAGGAGACCAGCCTAGGCAATATAAAGAGACTCTGTCTCTATAAAAAGAAATAATAAAGTCTATCAATTCAAAAAAAATAATAGGCTACTTGAATAGATGAGACTGGCTCACACGTAACAGAGGACATGTGATAAGGCAGTAGGTAAGCAGGTCTGCAGTGACATGGTTCAGGATACCAGGCGCAATTATTTCTTCCACTTCCTGCAATTTCTCGCATTTTAAATTTTAGGGCTGTGAACTTCACAGGAATAAGGACCAACTAAGAATAAGCCTATGAAATTGGCTTGCACGCCATCCAGAACTGTACAGATCTAAATAAAGTAAATAAATAAATGTGTTCTTTTTAATCCTAACCTTGGAGAAATAGAGAAAGGGAAATGAAACACACATGAGGCAAGTGATAAGGAGAACACCCCCGCCAGTTTGAGAAAAGCCCTCAGCAGCATCAGCCATTTGGCAGTGGTGGCAAATAGAGTGAGCAGAGACTAAATATCTGCCTTCCACTGACGGCCGTGATAGTAATAGAAAATGCGTAAGGCGAACGTGTTCTCACAGGACCATACAGGGAAATGAATCATCCTGGATCACACATGTCTGAGATCCTGAGCTTCACACCTTGGGTCAGATGTGTGTTCTCAGCTGAGAAACTGAGCCGCATTCTTGAGCATGAGCCAGACGACTTGACAGATGGTAAGTACCTGCTCCTCCAGGCACCCATCATCTGAGCAGCCTGGCAGAAGGATCCCAGCTCCCTGTGCCCAGCTGGTAATCTTCTTATGTCCTGGGGCTTAAGGAGTGATAGTCCTTTGCGATTGTTCTTTCCAGGCAAAGCTTAAAGCTGAGGAGTCTGCTTTACACTTGATTGTTTATAGTAAGAAAGAGGGATACGGATAGACAGACAAGCCAGGGATTGGAAAGGAAAACTGACAATATCTGACATTGCTTATTATTAGAGTTTCAAAGCATTTTCTCATCTATTTGCTCTTTTGATTATTACAACTGACATTTGGGAAGCAGGAAGGAATCATTCCAATTTTATAATAAACCAAAGAAGCTGAGATGCAGAGAGGTGCCCACAACATGGCTAGTAACTGGCAGTGCAACCAGCAGGATTGGATTGCCCAGCAAACTTTCTGCACCCAAATAAAATACAGGTTCTGCCTGCAGTGCTCTTGGCTCTTTGGGGAGTCCACAGAGACACTTTTTAAAAGTTATTTAGAACTTTGGAGGAGGCAGAAAACCACTATGGGCTCAGTTGGTCTTTGTCAAAGAGGAGAGAAGACAGGGAGAGTCTCTCAGGCAAGAGGAAAATTGAGAGTCAAGCCACATGGCTTGTCTAACGGAACCCCCAACCTGCAGCTGACAGCTCATCTTGGCGAGAATCCAGAGGAGGTGACTTCAGAGATGAAGGTGAAGGCCAGGTTGTGAAGGGCCTCTAATGCCAGACTAACTAAGGGGTTGAGCTTTTTTCTCATCACCAAGAAGGAGCCATTAAAGATTCTGAAGCAGCGGGGAATCTGAACCAAGTAGGCTTTGGAGGAAAGATGACCCCGAAGGAAGAGAGGCGGCAGGATGAGGAGCCCAGGAGGCACAGGTTGGGAGGACTGGAAGTGGGAAGGCAGGAGAGAAGTGGTGGGAAAGTGGAAGGGAGATGGAGTGGAAGGAATTGAGAGGAAAGGACCACAGTGCAAGGCAGTATGAAGAAATAATGGCACCCCTAAAGTTAAGTTTGAGATGTGGGCTGGACGTGGTTGGAAGTCCCTAGCAAGTCGTAGGAGATGATGGACTGATGGTCAGGAGAAAGGTCAAGAGACAGTTATCTGCGTAGATATCATCATTGAAGCATTAGGAGGGATAAGAAGGTTGAATGGGAACAGAACACTGAAACTTGGGTCCTACCACCTTTAAGGAGTGGGACCAGAAAGGGAAGCAAGAAAAAGATGTAAGAGATGGGAAGAGAAGCAGAACAGGGGGAAGGCAGCACTCCCAGGAAGTCTTCCCAACCAGGCCCCTGGCTCCAATTGTGCCCGTTCCCTTCTTCACACCAACTTCCTCCCTGTGTCTAAGCTGGGTTCATGTCCCAGGTCCTGCCACACTCTAGAAGTGTAGTATCAAGTTAGAGACTTAGAGACATCTGCGGAAGTTTACTAGTCTTGTGACAATCCAGAGCAAAGTCATGAAAACCAGACAAAAATAGTTTCAAAAACGAGATGTGGGACTGGGCACTGTGGCTTTGAGAGTCTGAGGCAGGAGGATTGCTCGAGGCCAAAAGTTCAAGAACAACATGGACAATGTAGGGAGACCCCATCTCTGCAAAAAATAAAAATAAAAATTAGCCTGCCTCAGTGGCATGTACCTGTGGTCTCAGTTACTCGGGAGGCTGAGATGGAAGAATTGCTCAAACCCAGCAGGTTAAAGCTGCAGTCAGCTGTGATCACGCCACTGCACTCCAGCCTGGGCAACAGAGTCAGATCCTGTCACCAAAAAAAAAAAAAAAAAAAGTGGGTGGCCGGGGGAAGATATTGGGCAATAAGAACTGCAAAGACAGAACAAGTAAGAAGGCAAAAGAGAAGAATTGCTTCAAGGGAGCTGTTTCAGGTAGAACTCCAGGAGCAGGACAAAAAGGTGAAGATGCTAAGGAGGATATGAATGGCAGAGAAGCAAATGTCCAGCATACTGGCTACATTTTCAAGAAGTTTTACAAAGAAGGGAGGAAAAGTGTGGGGAGGAATTGTCAATGGAAAGCAAGAGAAAGAGAAGATTATTATTATTATTTTTTGAGACGGAGTTTTGCTCTTGTCGCCCAGGCTGGAGTACAGTGGCGTGATCTCTGCTCACTGCAACCTCCACCTCCTGCATTCAAGAGATTCTCCTACCTCAGCCTCCTGAGTAGCTGGGATTACAGGTACCTGCCACCATGCCCAGTTAATTTTTTTTTTTTTTTTGTAGAGACGGGGTTTCACCATGTTGGCCAGGCTGGTCTCAAGCTCTTGACCTCAGGTGATCCACCTGCCTTGGCCTCCCAAAGTGCTGGGATTACAGGTGTGAACCACTGCGCCCGGCCAAGAGAAGGTTCTTTCAGATACTGTAACGTGATTATAACTAGGCAGAGAGTCTCAGCCCAAAAGCTCCTTCAGCTGATAAACAACTTCAGCAAAGTTTCAGGATACAAAGTCAATGTACAAAAATCACTGGCATTCCTATAAAACAACAACTGTCAAGCTGAGAGCTAAATCAGAAAGGCAATCCCACTCACAATTGCCACAAAAAAAAAAGAATAATATACCTAGGTATACAGCTAACCAGGAGGTGAGAGATCTCCAACACTGCTCAAAGAAATCAGAGAAGACACAAACAAATGGAAAAACACCCCATGCTCATGGATAGGAAAAATCAATATTATTAAAATGGCCATACAATCCAAAGCAACATACAGATTCAATGCTATTCTTATCAAACTACCAATGACATTCTTCACAGAACTAGAAAAAAGAAACTACTTTAAAATTAATATGGAGTCAGGTGCAGTGCCTAATGCCTATAATCCCAGCACTTTGGGAAGCTGAGGTGGGTGGATCTCCTGAGGTCAGGAGTTCAAGACTAGTCTGGCCAACATGGTTAAATCCTGTCTCTACTAAAATTACAAAAATTAGCTGGGTATAGTGGCATGCACCTGTAATCCCAGCTACTTGGGAGGCTGAGGCAGGAGAATCACTTGAAACCAGGAGGCGGAAGTTGCAGTGAGCCAAGATTGTGACACTGCATTCCAGCCTGGGTGACAGAGTGAAACTCTGAAAATAATAATAATAATAATAATATGGAACCAAAAAAGAGCCTGAATAGCCAAGGCAATCCTAAGCAAAAAGAACAAAGCTGGTGAAATTATGTTTCCCGACTTCAAACTATACTACAGGGTTAGGGTAACCAAAACAGCATGGTACTGCTACAAAAACAGGCACATAGATCAATGGAACAAAACAGAGAGCCCAGAAATAATGCTGCATGCCTACAGACATCTGCTCTTCAACAAACTAGACAAAGACAATCAATGGGGAAAAGACTTCCTATTCAATAAATGGTGCTTGGATAACTGGCTAGCCACATGCAGAAGACTGAAGCTGGGCTTAATACCCCTTCATTACACCATGTACAAAAATCAATTCACAATGGATTAAAGACTTATATGCAAAACCCAAAACTATAAAAATCCCACAAGACAACCTAAGCAATACCCTTCAGGACATAAGAATGGATAGAGAGGCTGGGCACGGTGGCTCACACCTGTAATCCCAGCACTTTGGGAGGCTGAGGGGGGTGGATTGTCTGAGCTCAGGAGTTTGAGACTAGCCTGGGCAACATGGTGAAACCCCGTTTCTACTAAAATACAAAAAATTAGCTGGGTGTGGCAGTGTGCACCTGTAGTTCCAGCTTCTCCAGAGGCTGAGGCAGGAGAATTGCTTGAACCCAGGAAGGGGAGGTCGCAGTGAGCCAAGATCATGCCAGTGCACTCCAGCCTGGGCAACAGAGTGAGACTTCGTCTGCAAAAAAAAAAAAAAAAAAAGGCAAAGATTTCATGACAAAGACACCAAAAGCAATCGCAACAAAGGCAAAAATTAACAAGTAGCATCTAATCAAACTTAAGAGCTTCTGCACAGCAAGAGAATCTACCAACAGAGTAAACAGACAACATACACATGGGAAAAAATACTGGCAAACTATGCATCTGACAACGGTCTAATATCCAGCATCTATAAGGAACTTAAATTTACAAGAGAAAAACAACCCTGTTAAAAAGTGGGCAAAGGACACGAACAGACACTTTTCAAAAGAAAACATACATGCGGCCAAAAAGCATATAAAAGCCCAATGCCACTAATTATTAGAGAAAATTCAAACCACAGTGAGATATCACCTCACACCAGTTAGAATGGTTATTTTTAAAAAGTCAGAAAATAACAGATGCTGCTAGGTTGCAGAGAAAAGGGAACATTTATACACTGTTGGTGGGAGTGTAAATTAGTTCAACTATTATGGAAAGCAGTATGGCGATTACTCAAAGAGCTAAAAGCAGAACTACCATTTGACCCAGCAATCTCATTACTGGGTGTATACCCAGAGGAATATAAATCATTCTATCATAAAGACACATGCACACAAATGTTCACTGCAGCACTATTCACAATAGCAAATACATAGAATCAACCTGAATGCCTATCAATGACAGATTAGATAAAGAAAACGTGGTACATATACACCATGGAATACTAAGCGGCCGTAAAAAAGAACAAGATCATGTCTTCTGCAGGAACATGGATGAAGTTAGAGGTCATTGTCCTTAGTAAAGTCATACAAAAACAGAAAACCAAATACCACATGCTGTCACTTACAAGCGGGAGCTAAATGATAAGAACTTATGAACACAAAGGAGGAAACAACAGACACTGGGGTCTACTTGAGGGTGGAGGGTGGGTGGAGGGAGAGGAGTAGAAAAGATGACTATTGGGTACTGGGCTTAATACCTGGCTGATGAAATAATCTGTACAACAAAACCCTGTGGCATGAGTTTACCTATGTAACAAACTTTTACATGTACCCCTGAACCTAAAATAAAAGTTAAAAAAAAAAAAAAAAAAGAATGGAAAAGAGGGTAGTCATTACCAGGGTGGGCAGAGGGAGGAAAAAGCCCTTAAGAGAAAGGTCAGCAAGCTAAGGAAGAGGTGTGCAGGCTGGGAGTCGAGTCCCACTGGGCTCCTCCTTTATGGGGTAGCAGCAGGATGCAGGAGACATACCAGCCTCCCCAGCCTCACTTCTCAGGAATGCAGTGGAGCTACCCCGCTAACTGCAATACTACGACAGGCATTCTGAAAGGGCATTCCTCTTATAATTAGATGCCTAGGTACTGGGAGGCAAATAAAAATCATAATAAAAGCCAACAGTAATGAGTTTACCGGCCAGACACGGTGGTTTGTATTTTAATCCCTGCATTTCAGGAAATCAAGATGAGGCGGGAGGATCGCTTGAGCCCGGGAGTTTGAGACAACCCTGGGCAACATAACGAGACTCTGCCAAACAATTAAAATCAATGAAATTTGCCAGGTATGGGGCCAGCACCTGTAGTCCCAGCTACTAGGGAGGCCGAGATGGGAGGATCACTTGAGCCCAGGAGTTCGAGGCCGCAGTGAGCTGTGATAGCACCACTACACTCCTGCCTAGGGCACAGAGTGAGAACCTGTCTCAAAACAATTTTTAAACATTTTTAAAAATTAAGAGCTTACCTGTTGTCTGTTACCATTATGCCAAGGGCTTTACTTTGACCATTTTATTCAGTTCTCACACGAATGCTACAGATTTAGTACTGATGCAATTACCCCCATTTCACAAATGGGGAAACTGAAGCTTTAAAGAGGTTAAATACCATGCCTATGTCTAGGATGTAAGCAATGGAGCTGGACATCTTGGGGACTCCAGGACCTATGGTCCTAACCAAGGTTCTTGGGATGGCTTACTGCCTCCCAGGGTGAGCTGGAGTAACTGGAGTAAGTGGACCCAGACAGGACAACTAAGCATTTCTAAAAGTGGAGCATTTAGTGTCTTGGTGCAGCATTGAGGCCAGAGAAGATGCAATGAGATAGATTAGCTTCAGGTCCTAGCTGACTGAATGGCATTTTGATCCAATATTTTAAAAATCCCTGCATTCTGTTATAGGGGCTCCTCACTTTAAGGAAATCTGATATTCAAAATCCAAACTTACGTAGGAATAACAGCTTGTTCATTGAGCAGCTACTGTATGCCTTGGCATCACACCAGGAGTTTTTTTTTTTTTTTTTTTTTTTTTTGAACGGATCTCCTCTGTCGCCAGTTGATGCAGGCCATCTCAGCTCACTGCAAGCTCCGCCTCCAGTTTACGCCATTCCCTGCCCAGCCTCCCGTAGCTGGACTACAGCGCCCCACCTCGCCCGGCTTTTTTGTATTTTTAGTAGAGACGGGTTCACGTGTTAGCCAATGGTCTCATCTCCTGACCTCTGATCCCCGTCCGCCTCCAGTGCTGGACAGCTTGGCCACCCCCCCACACCAGGAGTTTTCTAAACACGACCTTGAAACTGCACAATTGCCAGGCAAAATTATTAGCCATATTCCCAAGCCAGGCACTATGAGCTGAGTTGTGACTCCCCAAAATTCAAGTGCTGAAGCCCTAAGCCCCAGTGCCTCTGAATGTGACTGTATTTAGAAATAGGATCTTTAAGGAGGTAATTGGATTAAAATGAGGTCATTAAGAGTGGACCCTAATCTAATATGATTGATATTCGTATAAGAAGAGGAGATGAGGACACAGACACACACTGAGGGGTGACCACGTGAGGGCACAGCAAGACAGCAGCTGCCTGAAAACCAAGAGAAGAGGTCTCAGAGGAAACCAACACAGCCAACACCTTGATCTCAGACTTCCAGCCTCCAGAACTGTGAGACAATACATTTCTGCTGTGTAAGCCACAGTCTGTGGTACTTTGCTATGGCAGTCCTAGCAAAATAATGCACCAAGGAATCAAGTCTGAAAGCCTAGTTTTTGTTCAAAATCACAAAGACTGTGTCAGAGCTAAGAATGCAATCTGTGCTGCTGCAAAACTTACACAACAGAAGGGCCCTCTGCTGTACCAGAAGGTTCGCTCCAGGCTTCCGAATATCAGCTACACTGTTTCGTCAAAACACAATGCATCTGAAAAAACCCACTTGCCCTTCTGGCAACAAAGATCTCAAGCAAAGAAAATTCTACTGATTTCACTCATGACCCCTTTGTAGATGGTGATGTTTCCATAATGAAGCATTTAAAGATTCTGATCCCATGTCAGAAAATCTGGATGGACTGTTATATATTAGAGAAAAACTATGTTTGCATATTGATCAATGAATGAAAACAACCTGAGAAATGGAAACCTTTTGATTTGATGAAGTAGGAGCAAATGAAGTAAATTTTAAAGTAATGTTTACTTCCCATGTTATATAAGGTTATCTGAAAAACGTTTAAAATTTTTCCTTTTAAACTTTTTTCACATTCATATTTAATACTCCTTTTGCCAGAAATTAACACCCCTCAAAACATGGGGGTGTGTGTGTATATATATATATATATTTTATATATATGTGTGTGTGTATATATATGTGTGTGTGTGTGTAAAAATATATATTTAGATTGAGTCTCACTCTGTTGCCCAGGCTGGAGTGCTGTGGCAAGATCTCTGCTCACTGCAACCTACGCCTCACGGGTTCAAGCAATTCTCCTGCTTCAGCCTCCTGAATAGCTGGTATTACAGGCACGCACCACCATGCCTGGCTAATTTTTTGTATTTTTAGTAGAGATGGGGTTTCACCATGTTGGCCAGGTTGGTCTCGAACTGCTGACCTCAGCTGGGATTACAGGCATGAGCCACTGTGCCCGGCCCTATTTATATTTTTAAAAGATCTTTATAAATTTAAAAACTTAAAAAATATATTATAAAAGTATCATACACATGTGACAATAAAAATTCAAATAGAATTTTAAAAATTCAAATAGGACTGAAGAGAGCAAACTAAAATATAAGTGGTTGCCAAAGAACCAACTTTAAGCATCTCTGGGTTTTAGTTCTTGCAATGATTACTTCTCTTTGTGACACTGTGTTATTTTGATCTTGATATTTTTTAAGAAAACATGGATTGACAGATACAAATGTCTTTGCGTCTGTCAAAATACTTTTAAAAATAAAGGGGAAAAAAGCCTCTCAGAAACGGCCACTAGGTGGTAGAAGTTGACTAAAAACTGCTTTATTAGGTATCACCATCTCGATCTCTCCTCGTGACTTTTTTCCTCTAGGGAGAAGGGATTTCTTCAGGGTCTTCTCCTGAAATAGCCAACATCTTCTCCTCCAGCCCCTTTGCTTAGGCTGCCCGGTAGCCATTTTAGACTGCACACAAATGGAGATGATATAAGCAACCTCTCACCTTCCGGAGAGCAGGACAAGATGAAGAAGGAAGATCTTCAAAAGTGAAAGGTTAAGAAAGACAAGTACACACCCATATACACACCAGTCCTACCAACGGTGACAGCAGGAAGAGATGGCTAGCTCTTCCTCCAGAGCAGCTGTGATGCAGACCCACCTGTCACCCAAGAAGGAGAAAAGTGAACAAGAGCTTCTGCCCTAGTGGAATTGAATTAACTCATTAAGTCAAAATTTCCAGAATCTCTTTGCGCTTTGGTATGTGCTGTTGTGCGTAACATATAAGTTATGTAACACATAACTCAATAAAGACTTATTGATTTGACTTAATCTCAAAACTGCATTTCTAAAGCACCAAAGGAGTATCTTTTCATTCATTAGATGTTTCTTGAGCTCACACAAGTGCCTAAACAACAGGGGAAAAGGTCTGAAATAAAATAAGAGCCTTCTGTATATTTTTCTATATGACCAAAATATTTCATGATTCTAAAAACTGAGAACAAACACAAGCAAGTAAGTCAAAGGAAGAAAATGTGTAAATAAGAAAAATAAATGGGCCGGGCGTCGTGGCTCACGCCTGTAATCCCAGCACTTTGGGAGGCTGAGGTGGGCGGACTGCCTGAGATCAGGGGTTCAAGACCAGCCTGGCCAACACGGTGGAACCCCTGTCTCTACTAAAAATACAAAAATTAGCTGGGCATGGTTAGCGCCTGTAATCCTAGCTACTCAGGAGGCTGACGCAGGAGAATTGCTTGAACCCGGGAGGCGGAGGTTACAGTGAGCAACACTGCACTCCAGCCAGGGTGACAGAGCTAGACTTTGTCTCAAAAAAAAAAAGAAAGAAAAGAAAAATAAATATCAATAACCCCTTCACACAAGAATTTTATTCCTAGAAATTTATCCTAAGAAAATATGTCAATAGAGGCAAAAACTACAAAAGTGAAACTATAAATCTAAATAGCCAATGATTAATAGTTAATTGTAACATTAGTTTACTAGATCATTATCTATCCTTAAAATCATTTTGAAGACTATGAAAAAATGAGCCATGCATAAGTTTACAGTTTTTTTTAGATATGAATATAACTAAGTTCACTAAAAGGCAAGCAGACTAAGCAAAATAATGTGTCTTCATAACAGTATGCCGATAGTAAGATCCAGAAATTGACTGAAGCACTGTGTTTTCATAAGAATTACTAAAGATTTAATCTCTCAGCCCATGGCACCTACAAATGTGATATGTTTTCACGCTATGTTTCTTTTGTTTGTTATCTTTGTTTTACAGTTGCCATAGCAGTTAAAATTTATTTTCAATAGAATTATTAAAGTTTTCTTTGCTAAGTAAAGCTTATTTTTGTTTTGAAGCCATTAGCAATGTAAATTTACTCCCAGCTATGCCAAACACAATGTTTACTTTTCGTTTCAAATTTTAAGCCTGTAATAAAATGTAGGCATTTCTAACCATATAAATGTCCTTCTTCTTGGGCGAGATGAGGGGCTTATTTACCATGGCAGAGTCCAGGTTCTTTTGGCAGTCGTAGGATAGACTATGCCACCCCAAGGATAAAATCAGCTATTTATGCCAATGATTACATGGGAGAATGAGTGACACTTACATTCATGCTCTTAAAAAAAAAAAGAAAAAGTGATCCTCTTCTGGAGGTTATTTGCGTAAATTTTGGCAAGGAAAAACTGAGCTTCCTTGGGCTAGGTCCAGAACCTGCAATCCCAGGACCTCTGCAAAGACCTAAGGGCAGCAGAGGTTGATTAAGCCCAGCAGAGAGATCTATTTCCTGGCTGATTCACACACACAGCCTTCTAAGTCCTCCAAAGTCTCACAGTGTGCAGAGGAGGAAGAGAAGACAAGTTCTGTTGAGAAGAAAGCCAAGGGGTTCTCCATACCTTTCCCATTAGGCTGGAGGACTGACATTGACACCATTAGACGAGCAACTTTATGACTACTGAGTTCCCACATCTTTAACTTCAGCCTATACATTTCCCCCTAAACGCTTTTTGCTCTAAAATAAAGAAAAATGTATATAATGTGTCTGATTCAGCGGTGCTTTCATATATATGCCATACGTATTACATATATTTCTCAAATATGTATGTATATATACATTTGTGTACATATAATATATACATTCACATTTATATAAAAGCTATTTAACTGCTTTAAGAGGATGAGATAGCCCACCAGAAGTTTTGTGATTATGATAAAGTGGAATTAAGTCAAACTTTGGTCTTTCAAAATAATAGACAATCAATGATAACCTGAAATGAATAACTTTTCATTTACACCTATACCAAAATAATATATTCATAAATATAATGAAAAAGACAAGAATGTAGAATGTGTGTGTATGTGTGTGTAGGTGTACATATGTGTGTGCATGCACACTCACTAAGAATATGTAAACTGGGTGGGAAATTAGTCTTAAAGGAAAAATGTGTTTAATTTGGAGGAAAATATAAACTCAAAAAACAACACATATTATTATACATTCCCTCTGACAAAGCCTAGAAATCCATTTAATGAAGGAATATATTGAGAGAGATGTTTAGTACAGTATGTTGAAGCTTGTTTAAGACAGCAAATTCTTTGCAAATGGGAATTAGAAGCCAGGTACCTATTTCCAGGAAAGAGAGTTCTGCATGGAAAAAAACAAAGGACTTATGTGCAAATAAATAATCACTTCCATTAAATTGAGGGGTCAGAGACCAGCTTGGCAGCTGCAACAAAGAAAAATTTGTCATCAAAACTCTTTGGCCCTTCATTCCTAAAGTAAATTTGGAGCTAATTAGCTTTCAAGACTTTTCCGGGTTTTTTTCCACGGTGACAAGACAAAGAAACAGACTTAAGATAAAAACCAGATGTCAAAGTTTACTGGTCATTTGTTCATGTACGTTATATATTTATATGTCACTGTTAAAGTTGTGGTTTGGCAAAGTTCCAAACACAGTAGGTGAAGTAAACTTTGTGGGCCTTATTTTGACTGTGATTTGCCCTTCAATGTGGAAGGCATCATGTTCTGGAATGGCTGAATTCCTCCTGGTCTGAAATGCATTTTACTGCTCTGTTCAATGTTGCTTAATACAGCTGCCTTCAGTTGCTGTTACAACATAAAACAATTCTGTAAAGACTTACAGAAATCACATTGAGCATATAAATTACATCAGCTCTTTTCCATCGGTATTAGATCTGCCCACAGTGATGACACTCTGCTTCCTGTCAAATGGTGAATCTGGGATACTCAGTACTTGCCTTTGAGAATACAAGAGGAAAATATAGCTATATTTTTCCCATACAGATACCAGTGAAAACCCAGGAAAAGGAGAAATGAAAAGATAAGCAGGATACATCCAAGTTTTTCAAGGACCTTTGTTTAATTTCTGCAGGATCCTGAACCCGTGTCTATCTTTGGTTACTAAATAATAAATTTTAAGCTCCACGACAAGCAAATACATTACAACAAGAGGTCTCTGGGCAACTAAGAGCCATGGTCAGCAGCTGATTCAAGATCCCAAAATACTGTACTAGAGAGGTCCCTGAGAAGGTGCCAGATGGAGGGAAAGGGTAGATAAAATGTATTTGAATAAATGAATTTACATTTGAAAATATTTTTTACTACAGGCTCTAGAACTTTCTTTACTCAAAATTTTAAATGAGATGTGGCTAAAGGCATAATAGGACAATTCTCCTACTGAATGGTTTGTACCTCCAGGTTTCTACACAAATAGTTCTTCCCTCAAAAAACCGGCTAGGCTTCTGAGTGTTTCTCTGTTAAGATAAATATGGTATACCACAGTGTTTGACTTACATTTCATGGAGTCATCTAGGACACAGAGTTTTTTTACTTTTTTTTTTTTTTTTTTTTTTGTCGTTGTTCAATTATCTGTCTCCTCATAGGATCTACCTTAGAATTCCAAATCTACCAAGGCTACAAATACGAAATTTGATACAGTCAACTGGCATCCATTTTCCTGTGGGGTTTCTTTTTGTTTTTTTGTTTGTTTTTTGTTTGTTTGTTTGTTTTTGAGACGGAGTCTCGCTCTGTCGCCCAGGCTGGAGTGCAGTGGCGTGATCTTGGCTCACTGCAAGCTCCGCCTCCCGGGTTCCCGCCATTCTCCTGCCTCAGCCTCCCGAGTAGCTGGGACTACAGGCGCCCGCCCCAACGCCCGGCTAATTTTTTGTATTTTTATAGTAGAGGTGGGGTTTCACCGTGTTAGCCAGGATGGTCTCCATCTCCTGACCTCGTAATCTGCCCGCCTTGGCCTCCCAAAGTGCCGTGATTACAGGCATGAGCCACTGCGCCGGGCCCCATTTTCCGAATAGTTTTCATGGGAAAAGACATTATAATTTCGTTCTGTAGTTTCTCTAAATGTTATAGAGCACACTCACAGACAAGACATTCTTGAGCATATACAAGACTTTAGACAAACTCATCCTCACACCAAATTTCTAGCTCATTTTTGTAAACTCAGAAGAGATAGAAAAATTGTTATATCTTTCATTGGACTGCTTTTTCTGTTACTGGAGTTTATTTGCAGTGATCATAGTTAGGGGTTGGTCAGCGAGATAGTTTGGGTATTTGTCCCCACCCAAATCTCACGTGGAAACGTCATCCCCAGTGTTGGAATTGGTGCCTGGTAGGGGGTATTTGGATCACAGGAGCAGATCCCTCGTGAATGGATTGGGCCATCACCTTGGTGATAAGTGAGCTCTCACTCAGTTCACAGGTGATCTGGTTAAAATTGTGTGGCACCTCCCTACCCCAACTTGTTCCTGCTTTCCCCGTGTGATGTGCCTCCTCCCCTTTGCCTTCTGCCATAATTGAAAGCTTCCTAAGGACTCCCTAGACGCCAAGCAGGTGCTGGTGCCATGCTTCCTGTACAGCCTGCAGAACCATGAGCCTATTAAACCTCTTTTCTTTATAAATTACCCAGTCTCAGGTATTTCTTTATTGCAATGCAAGAATGGCCTAATACGGTGGGTTTTTGGTGGGCAGGAAGGAAATGAATGATGGCTTCATTTCCAAATACAACAGTCTCTGCTTATCTGCAGTTTCACTGTCCATGGTTTTTAGTTTACCCTTGGGACAGTGCAACAAAGCATTTTGAGAGAGAAAGAGATGGCATTCACGTAACTTTTATTAAAGTATACTGTTATAATTCTTTCTGTTTCATGATTAGCTATTGTTATTCATCTCTTACTGTGCCTAACTTACAAATTAAACTTTATCATAGGTATGCAGAGGAAAACACAATATGTTTAGGGTTCAGTAGTATTTAAGGTTTCAGCCATCCACTGGGGTCTTGAAACATATCGATACCCCATGGATA